TATCATGTACTCCCAATAATATAAAAATTTATACTTGTAGTTTGTTGTAACAATACGTTTGATGAACATAAAATATCCATGTAGGGTGTAAAAGAGGGTGTAAGAGTGAGACGCAGAAGTGAATCGTCATCTTTGAGCAGTCTGGTGACTGAGGAGATGAACACTGCGAGTGTGCTTGCATCGTGCACATGAGCTGGTAGTCTATTCCAAATGATTGAAAACTTATTTAAGAAGAAGTTGCACCGCATGTAAGTCTGACAATGCTCTATAGCAGCTAGGTTGTCATGATTTCTAAGATTGTAACTGATGACAGCGGTAGGTTTAATTATTGGCTTGGAGGAGTGCACGAGCAGATTAGTTAGCTTGTAGTAAAAAATTAGGTTTAGCTTAAGACGTCTTTTCCAGAGTGGTTCTAGTCTTAGTCTGTCGCAACGCTCATAGTATTGGAGACCACTTTCTAGACCAAGAGTTCTTAAGGTGAATTGCTGGTGCACTCCCTCTAATTTAAGCTTATCATTTTGTCTCAGTCCGCCGAGAATAAACGGGCAGTATTCTAAAATAGGTCGGACACATACTTTATATAATAAAACCCTAGTTTCACAATAAAAGAAACTGCGAGTTATACACCATAAGGGCCTTCGTGTTTTGCGTCTAGCATAATCAGTTTGTTAGGACATTGTTTAATTACTAGAGTATCTGATAAAGAGATCTACGACTGAGTTCAGCTTGGCTAGTTTTCGCCATAGATCCTGCTGACATTGGATGCTTAAGGATGTGACCAGCCAAATTTAAGCTGGTGTAATAATGTAAGCGTCTAAGCGTGGGATATTCACTAGCAATTTGTACACATTATTTGAATTCTTACTGTAGATTTTGTCCAGTCTATTTGTACGATATCTTTTATTCCTTATCAAGTATATTCACATTATGAAGTGTGTTTATGTGTTTTCGTATATCAAGTTTCAGTAATTTTTATGGCATAGCTAGCGTAAATATTTCCTTTCTGCTTCATTTCTAAGAAACAATAGTTAGCAGCATTCAAATAAAAACTCTTGCTCATCAAAATCACATATCACTATCGTCATGCAGTGGAATGCTCATGACTAATAACAATAATAATTTTTATTTCTGGAACAGAAACCAGCCATTTTTACAGGCATGAACAAATGTACACTAATTAGAACTTATAGAATATATATGATTTGTTAATCTAGAAATAGATTGAATACTGGTAAATTTGAGAGAAATATTTAAAAAGAAATGTACAAATAAGGCAATAGGTAATTTTCGAGATATGCTTTCAACTGAATAATTCATGAGAAATAGCATCAAATCAAAACTGTAATTGAAAAAAATACGGTATGTCAATTTCACGCGGGAATTATAAACGATAACGTTAATTGTGGAAGGTAAGTAGCATTTTTGTACAGGTGCTGACGTGAAATATAAGAGATGCGGAATGAACAGTAATTGTAAGTAAATGATTTATAGAGTGTTTGAAAGTCCATAAAACTTCAAATTCACCGGTAAGTACACCATAATTGTGACATTTCCACTTGTATATGAGACCAACTTTGAACTTGTCGGCAGATTTCATGATAGAGGTGGTTCCGTTATTCACCAGGTGGGCTAGCAATATTTCGAATTAGCTGAGGATAGCGGCACTGTTTCAGTGCCTTCGCCTAAGGCAGTACCTTTGAAAGGAGAAGAAGACACAAGGAAACCGCCAGAGAGGTGCAGAAGTATATAATAGGTGTTAATAATTCAAAACATATATAAAAAACATGGGGTTCATCATTTTGTTGTTGTTTTTTTCATTTAAAAAATACTTTTTCCCCCTGAGATTTTCTAGTAATGGAATTCTAGTCTTCCTTGCGAAAAGAAAAAAAAGCTTAAGTGAAAAAAGATGATAATTTTACCTACTTATATAGGTTGAATATGAGTTAAACACAAAAGCCAAAGTGCGTGAACTATGTAGAAGAAAAGCGAGGGCTTAATAATAACTACTGTTTTTCTGAAGTATACGTTTAGGTGTCCTTCTGAAGTAGGGGACTCATACCATGTACTTGCATTCGAGGAGTTTGTTATTTAAACTTCAGCTTTAGGCAAATTTTCAACTTCTGTATTTTTTAATTTTATTTATTCTTTTATTTTGCAGAAGCCATTCGAACTCAGGAGCCTTAGCAATAGAGTGCTGTCCTACAGATAAGGGTGGTTCTCACATGACTAATGGCAACTGAAATGTAAGTGAGAAAAACCTTGTGAGGAATTCAAAAGTGTTTGTCCTGATACTTATTGATGTGGTTACTACTGATAACTATACTACAGCTTCACACTGATATGTGGATAGATGGATGAATAGAAAATAAACCAGTAATAAGTCCAATAGATGGATAGACAGATAACTAATGAATTTACCTTCATAACACCTACGTCATTGTTCCGTGTGTGCATTCTTTGTTTCCTTGAGAAAAACTACCATCCGTCTCACCTTCATCGTGATTTCCCGCTTAATTCGCGAACTGGGAAATCAGGCGACCCTAGTATGCTGTCGATGACATAGGCAAGCGATATTCATGATCAACGAGTCTGTCACTGGCTCAACAGTTTTTATCAATCCAACTCGACGTTTGCTAAACAAAAAACCTACAAAGTACAAAGCTTTATAAGAGAGTGAAAGGGGAGTGGTTAAGTGTGTGTGTAATTTCATAATTGATGGGGTTTATGCCACCGGCATTAAAGGCATACTGTCTCTATTGAGAAATTGTGGGACACATTAAATCCCCAACAGTGGGTTTTCCAATCACACCTTAAGCTTTCCACATGCACGGATTACATCAGAATGGGTCAACATTAAAGTGCTTGAAAACAGCCATTTCATCACAGCTGCAAATATACTTTCCTGAAACTTGAGATACGATTCGTCCGAACACGTCCGTTCAAACAAGATAAATTTTGAGCCATTTCCTACTTTCCTTACACTTATATTGACCTCATGCATTTTAGTCACAAAATGAACAGTGGTGAGGTCAGATGCTTAGCAGCAGTGAGATGGAAATGACAGAGAAGATTTGTGGCTCAGGTTGATAGTTTTAACTAAGTTGTATTCTCCGCACTGGTAAACTTGAAAACGGAGCTTTCATTGTTCTGTTGGAGCAAAACTTTCAGCTCAGACTTCAATATAAAGTGAAGTTATTTGAGTTCTCCACGAATGATACAACTCCTCCTGACAACCATTGTTATGATTATTTAGTTCGATCTTGATTTTCCCGTTGAACGGTTGCACCGAAGAGATTGGCCTCTGTTAATTGGTTATAACTGATGCCTTTATGCCTTTATTGATCACTTTTACCGACTTCGAATTTGAAATTTCTTGTCTTAGGATTGGTCCGAAAGGACATTGAAAGCTTCGCAGTTAAAGCAACCAGCTCAGAGAATACGAATTTATCAAAACTACTGAAATTGCGAGAGGGGTGAAATCCAGGACATATGTGTTATCTTACAAGAGAGTTACCAGATGCGTAAGTAGATGGTGTTCCCAACTTACAGCTTTCCCACGGCTTCGCGGTCACGCAAGATTTATTCTCTTGCTGTTTTAGCTATCCAAGAAAAAATCATCTACCAAAGTGTGGAATATTGACACCAGGACTCTTTGCGAAATCAGCCAGCGGGCATCACTAGTCATAACTTTGCCATCTGGAGTCATGGATATATGCTATTTTTTCTGACGCTTATGGAGGACACAGGTGTGGACATTAACTTAATCCTACCTGGCCAACAGAGTGAATCTCCAAAATTCAGGCAATTCTACAGTTAGTTCGGGAGGACTCACAGGTATTGAACAGCATTGAGTGCTAGGGCAGAAAAATTCACAGTTGAATGGATCCCGAGAAAGTTCATGTGTGTGCTGTTCGGACGAATAGATCCTATAGAAGAAGGGAGGACTGAGACATCCGTTGATGTATTTTCATATTCTTTCAATACGCATCAAAAGTCTTCAGTTCGAAAGAAATAAGGATTGAGTTCTATCAAAAACTGTCTAGTTTTCTGCGGAAAGTGGAGCCTCCAGATATGGTCGTTTTCATAGGCGACTTCAATGAGAAGCATGTTGGTGGTTCCCACGGAATTCTTTAATGTCGAACCAACAATGGTGATCGATTTTCCATTCTCCACAGATGATCATTTGTTCCGGGTCAGCTCTAGCTTCAAAAATGGAGACAGCGAGTAATCTGGCGACATCAGTCACCAAATCAACAATGGATCCAAATAGACCACAGTGCTAAGCCATCGTTTGCAATGATTTGCAAAATACTGACACCCCTTTTGGGACACTTGTGTGGACTCTGACCAAGCCCTGGTTCATCCAAGTTGTCGCTTACATAAGAAGAGAAATTAGGCCATGCAGGAGCAATGGCATCTCGCCCTTAAAGTGATCAAAACGCTGAGTTCCAATTGAAGAAAGAAATAGCTAAGCATGTGTCTCAAATGGATAACGAGAAATATCCCGAGGAAGCCTGGCAAAATATCCAGTCATCTGCACACACAGCTCCAAAGGATATTCATAACCCAAAACCAAATTAAGTAAAAGCCAGTGGCATTTTTTTTACTCTGTCCGAACAGACAGATGGGAATTTCTGCTATGCTGTTTGCTCCTGTCAATAGTGAGGGGACTTTGCAGTACTGGACTGCACTGACTCCTAGTTTAAATTAAGCCATTGGTGCTGCACTCATTTATCTGAACAGTGAAACTGAAACACTTAGATGCTTCAGCTGTCTGAGGTAGCAAACTTTATAACTTTTAAAATGGGGAGACGAAATTAGGAGGAAAATCGCTGCGTTCAATGCAAGAACAGAAGTAGCCTCAAGATCTGGATGTGATAGCTACAACTAGAATATTTTGTTCAGTTACAAGATCACTTGTTTACTTTGACATATATTAGAGGTTTTAAAGACCACTTTCGCCTGGAGTTGACATTATCACTTTTTCAAGATAGTAATTTCGAGACTTTGTTTTACACAGGCACTTTAGGTCGTACTCTATAAGCGCGTGGTAGAAGTATCTGTATCAAGATGTCGCTGTTCTCAACTCCAGCCCTTAATAATTATCTTTCGACTGCCACAACGTTCATTACAAAGTCTTTAGAAACAAAAGTCTTCGATGATGGTGGTTCAAAGAGCACCTTTATTGTAAGTAAATACTTCCTCGTTTATACTTCTATTTAAAACTTTATCCCAACCCTTTTAAAAATTTGAGGCAATTTTGAGGTTTCAGAGTTTCTTATAGGAAAAAATAACGCACTTTTACGAATTATTCGCAATGGGGCGCTCAAAAATCTCGAAATTGTCCAAAACTTTCTTACTTAAGTAAGAAATAAGTTTCTAATTAAGAACTATAGTTCCCAATTTATAAATTAGGAATGAAAAGAGAAATGATTTAACTACTGAAAATATAAGTTAAGAGTCAAAATGATGTGCAAAATTTGAAGAAAAGCTACATATTAGTGAGGAGCAAGATAGGTGGCAAGCGAATTTAATGAGCAATTTCGAAGAGAGGAGATAGCTGTTTGACATAGGAGGATCTGAACTGATGTTAATTTAATTAAGGCCCTCACAGAACAGAACAAGTTGAATTCACTCATATATTCGGGGGAGATGTGATAACTTGCTGTCTCTATTTTAGATGAAGTCAATTTAACTTTTTACTTTACTTCTATTTATGCGTTCTCTTGAACGAAATTTCTCCTGATTTGATCTTTGAAAATGGTTTATTTCACATCTTTGTGCCTCTGAAAGTGTTCTGTTCATCTGGCTCCCAGTAATGTGTTTAGAATTTCGGGTTTTCAGCGCGGAGGTTTTACTTTATTTCATTGTCATCATATGCTTAATTTATAAGTGAAAAATACGGGGTTTTATTTGCTGTGATGATTAAAGCAAATACATGATGATGGAATTTCATATCACTATGACTTGGAAGTGTCGTTATTTTGTAATACCTGAAGCATATTACTAAAACCAATGTACTCTAGTACATCATTCATCAGACGCTTAACTGATCTGGAAGTATTGATGGTGAAATACACGTTCAAAAGGCCAAATCAGTTAGCACTATATTCGGAATTTCTATATATTTAGACATAGCAAGGTTTCTGGTTAATCTCACGTAGAGGTTTGTAACATTTTATATTGAGTGAAAAATGAGTCGGGGAGCCTGAAACTGGGTGTGAATCAGTAAAATGACATCATATACTAAGGTGCAGACTTATCGAAATAATATCACAACACTCTAAGCATCCGGAGGATAACTTACAGTTCACCCATTTAGTGTTTATTTACTTCGGTTTGATATTTTTTTAAACCTAGTTATAGCTTAGTGCTACAGGTATTCACTTCTGTATGCTAAACTTCACAGATGTTATAAGACGTGATCTGCAATTTTGGATTATTGTCCGGATTGAAATATTTTGTTTAGAAAGTCAAGTTTTTTGAGATAAAATTAGTTATAACTGAAAGATTTGAGTATAATTAAAATGAACATTGTTTGACTTATTATTTTCACTCCTTATTAGTATACGCTGTTTACTGATGCATTTTAATCATCGTAAAGTTGCTATAGTCTTAAATTATTTAGCAGTTAATATTTCACCAGCTATATCCTGCTCTTAACCATTCATTTATTCACTGTCTTTCCATATGCTTCTCATGCACCTGAAGCGGTCATGAAAAGAAATCCTTCTTTATTAACAACAATGTTCATTAAAGCTTAAACATACTAGTGCTAATTGTTACAGTTATATTTCTGTGGTGGATTTCTTGCTTCGTACTAATTAGATAAGATCATTCGAGTTGCATGCAATTTAAGATATGCTTTAAAATGTATTGTGGATTATGTTTCTAGCATGAATATTATGCACTTAATAACTACCAGTTATTTTTACTATCCACACGATGTCTTTTCGAAGAGTGTTCACTTTCGAAATAGATATGAATGTCTGGTCAGCAATTTATTTTTTCAACATCTATTTACAAAAGTAGACTGTTCGACAATTGTTACTACTATTTCTGTCACATAATTAGAAATTTTATTGATTCTTTAGTGTGAAGAAGGGTCTGAGTTCTTGTTTGAAGACGTTCAAAATTAAAAATATAAACACTTTTAGGAATTTCAAGCCTGTATTTACAGGAAATATATTTTGATATTCTTCTTGTTAAATGTGGCATGATAACACAGAAAGTCGTCTTTATTTATAAAAATTGTGTCAACTTATTATTGAGGATAACAGCTATATCGTTGCGCAACATTCCAACAGGTACACAACGAAAAGTTCAAAGGAGCGTTTGAAGTGAAGATAGGAGTAAAAAAAGACCACCTACTAACACTGATGATATTTCTGATTGTGTAGTCTGGATCATGCAACAAAACGTGAAGAGAGAAAAAACAGGCACAGTCTTGACCAACAGAAAGACTATAAGAGATCTGGACACTGCACACGATTTAATTCTCATATCATACAAACTCAAAGATCTACAGGTAGAAGAGACAGCGAAGACAGGTCTTCAAGTGAACAAATAGAAGACGGAGGTGATGAAGATGTCTAGCTGCAAATAACAACAATCACCAGTCACCATCATCGAGATAGACCTAAAGGTGGTCATCTCTTTCATTCGTCTGAGCAGCATCGTTTCATCTATAGACGACACAGATGTACATGTGAACGACAGGGTTTGAAAGGAAAGACAAACCTTCATTACTCAGAAACCAGTGTGGAAATCTATTGCACTGAGGATAAATAACAAGATATAGATCTCCAATACTGAGGTCAAATCAGAATCTACACGAAGTCTCTGGCAGTTCACATAAGCCAGACATGTAGGGAGGTGTAAACTGCCTGGTCGGGAACCTAGGGATACTAAGAACCGGTTGGTGTAGACTATTGGTGATATGGTTCAAAATCATTCTTAGTGGTGCAGGTGCATTGACCCTTTATTATCTTCCAGATCTAATAAATCCTAGTGTTTTTTTCATGCAATTATTTTCTCTCCTGTACACTTATGTTCATTATATTTCTTTTGAATTTCTATTTTCTTTCCTTTGCCTACAATTTTGTGCTACTTGAAGTGTGGTAACTTGATCTGCTACACTTTTTTGAGAAGTTCTATGTTAAAATTCAGTCAGTCAGTATTTTCGTTTCCATTAATCCATCGAAAATGTTGAGATTATACTAGACGACTAGGATTCCGTGAGGCCGTCTACAGTTATGTACATTATGCTTCTTATTTATATTCTTTGTAGGGTATGAAGGCACCGTTAATTGGACGTTATGGTTTAACAATTAGTTCAGGTGGTGCAATAAATATTGGTCGTTTTAAGGATCCACGACAAAATTTACGTGATTCACGCGAAAATAAAGTTGTTGTGCCACCAGACTTTGGAATTACACCAGCAAAACCAATCCCAGCTACACGTGGCGGTGGTTTGGCCTCTGCAGCTTTATCATATGATCAACTGAAGAGTCAACTGTTACAAAGTCGAACATTGTTTGAAGATCCAGAGTTTCCAGCCACTGACAGCAGTTTATACTTTAGTCAAAAACCGCCAAGACAAATACAATGGTTACGTCCACATGTGAGTTCCTTTTGTCATTTTTAAGAAAGTGTTTTGTTAAAAATTGTTAAAATTTATTTTACCGCAGTTATTTTGTAGGGATTTGGTTTATTTCAAGTTTGATCATTTATTGGTGGCGTTAGAGAACCATTGAGAACCATGGAGTACTAGACAGCTGTTTGCTCCAGTTTGCGACTGTTCCTCAGTATGCACCCATCAGGGTTCAAACTCAGTACCTTTCAGTTACAAGGCAAGCTCGTAGACCATTTAGCCGTTGGTTGTCAGATACGCTTATATAGTAGAAATTAGAGTTCGTCGGTCATTCAATTGGGTCTCAGTGGCTGAATGGTCTAATAGTTTGCTTTGTACCTGGAAGGTCCGTGGTTCAAACCAAAGTGGTTGCGTACTGATAAGAGTCCGAACCAGGACAAAACAGATATCCAGTACTATCTCGTCTCCCAATGGTTCTCTAACTGACATCAATCCATGGTAAAGCTTATCCTGTATACTAAAATATGAGATTTACCTGTTTATGAGAAAAACATGTATTCATTTATTTATCAACCTGAAACTGACAGCTTTCATCTAATTAGCATGTAGTTTTAAAGACTGATCTATGGGACTTTGATCTGTTGCCTTAGATAATAACACAGTCATGGAGGTCGCTGACTTAGATTCTGCGCCGTGCCAGGTGGCGTCGGTGGCACAGCGATTAGGACGCTCACTGACCATGCACATGGTCCGGGCTTCGATTCCCGCCCGACGCACACGTGATATCAATGGTTGGCCTGCCCAATTAGGGCTACCGATATCACATGCTGAAAATTTCGTTGTTCTACCAAAAATACTGTATTGGATCAATCTATAATAAAATAAAATAAATAAATAAATAACATATTTTGCGCCTAATTACATCAAGCCTTGTTCATGCAATCCCTTTAATATATTTGTGACTAATAGCCGAGCTGTTCTATTCATGTAGTTTAGCGTAGTTGGCTCGTCCTTATTTTCAAGAATTGAGTTTAGTTTTCCCAAAGTAGATGCCATGATGGATAACAGTCAGTTGAAATTAAATACCTCTCGGGAAAAAGTAGAACAAGTTAACTAAATTTCATTGACTATCACAAATGTTATGTTCACTACTGACTGACTACAGGATGAAATTGTCTGAGATTCTGGTGAGGATTTGTGACTAGTATGTGTGAGGACAACTACTCGCCGATGACACTGTTTGGTGGGGGCGCTATATATACTGTGAGTTGGCAGAATTTGGAATTCGTGGGGGGGGGTTAACTGTCAGTGAACTCGCCTGGTAAGCTGAAGGTTCTGATAGCTATCCCTGGTGGCGTGATGGGTGTTGACCACTGAGGAGTCTCAGACTTGTATGAAGTAGTTGTCCAATACTCCCTGGCTTTTAGTAGTTCTCTAATTGATATCAGTTTATGGTCTAGCTTGAGATCAGTCAAAGATCTACAAGCCAACACTTAAAAATTAATGCTTAAATGTGATAAAAGTTAATTGATTCACTTCGCTTGTGACTGGAATTTGAATCTATCACATTTAGATAAATTCACTTGCTTTTTGTTTTATTTATTCTTGTAAAATTTCGTTAAATGCCAAAGAATTCGATAACAGACTGAATTTTTATAGGCTAATTTATGAGAAGATGTAGTCTACATTAAGCCGTAAACTTGTGGTATGACTTAGCGAAGCTTGACCTCTGAATACGTCTACTTCCGACTGATTGATTCTAGTGTTGGTTTGTAGGGATTTGATTGGTTACAGGATTTTCATCATGAGCTGACATTAGTTAGAGAACCATTGGAAAACCTAGGAGTACTGGACAGCTGTTTCGTCCTAGTTTGGGACTCTTCATCAGTACGCACCCACCGGGATTCTATCTTGATATTAACTAATGGGGAGTTGTAAATTATGGCGTCCTGTGAGTCAGGGTGAAGCGGTTGTTTATCAGTGGCATTGGTTGACGTTAGCATCACATTTTCAACTAACAGTAGTTAAAATTCTATACTTCATTGAATTCGAACCAAGTGGCTGAATGGTCGACGGGTTGGCCTCCTAAGTTCGACCCTGTTTGGGTTACAGGTACACACTGATGGATAGTCGATGTTAGGAAAACATAGCTGTTGAGTTCTCCATGATTTCAATATATATATATATATCAACCAAGTGGTCGTATGAATTGGGTGAAATGGCTGAGGCATCTGTTAAGCATTATTATTATTATTGTATCCTTTAATTCCTAAAGGAACATAGGGCTTCAGCCGTGCGTCTCCATTGAGTTCGGTTCTCTGCTAGACTCTTCACCTGGCTCCATGTCTGCCCACACGTTTTCATCTCCTCTTCACATGACCTCCTCCAAGTCACCCTTGCACTGACGACCAACTCGCCGCTTCCCTTTCGGGTTCCACTCGAGCAATGGCTTGTCTAGTGATGTCACTTGATGGTTGGTCTCCTCAGAGTATGGCCAATCCATCTCCATTTCTTCCTGCATATTTGTTTTACAATCGGTTCCTGGTTGGTTCGCTCCCAGAGATCTCTGTTGCTGATTTTTTCTGGCCGGCCATCTGATCTTGTGTATTGAGCGAAGACAACTGTTAATGAAGGTCTGTAGTTTGTTTGAGATGCTCTTTATGACGCGCCAAGTCTCTGATCTGTTAAGCATACTGAGCCACCATTTTCCACTATGAGCAGCGTTAGTTGGTATAGAACTAGGCTGAAAACGAGTGAGTGATGCTCAGATAAAAACTTGTCACAAATCCATGATATCTTTAGCTGTTAGTTGAAGCAAGTTGAAAGCAAGTGTAAACTGCTTGGTTGGGATTCTCCAGATCCTAAACACCCGGTAGAACAGGATTGATATGGCTGGAAATCTTTTTCACCAGCTCAGATGTTTTCACTCCTTGTGAAAATGTATTCACTATTCTTCATCTAGATGGTGTTTCTCTAATACATTTTAGTCTATTGTAGTTTCAATACACTTCCTCCTTATACTCTTTTCTATATTTGCTTTTCGAAAGTTAGGTGACTTGAGGTTATACACGTTTGGGCTAAAGTTCTGCGTTGATAACTCAGTTCATCTGAGTTTAGTGTTTGTTAAAATCAATGGAGTATTTATGTCTTTGGGAGATTTTTTATTTTAAGAGTATAAATAAGAAGCTTTTTTCTGCATTCTTTTGACGTATCTTCCATAATACACATATATGCGCTTACCAAAGAATACATTCATACCTTAACATTTTGGTTATTTCCACTTTCATCTCACATTTGTCTACTCTCATTGCGGTAATGTTCTATTCCTCTTATCTTATACCTTCTGTGTGTGCGTCAGTGTTCGAAGTTACGTTGGAACTAAATCTTTGATCACTGTTGACATACTGACTGCTAGTATGCGAATGCTTTGACGATGTCTAAGGACTAGCACGAAGTAATGTTTTAGTTCGTGGTGTCTAGCAGTGGAATCTGGAATTTATATTTCGTCTTGCTTAGGGCTTGTCAACTGGGTATGCTTGTATTCTCAATGAGTAATGGTGTTCTCGCTGAGACTCAGGCCTTGAACCCATCGCTTCGCACACCAAAGCGTTATTGACTAGACCACAGGAGCTTTTTGACTGTCTGAGGTAGCTCCATGAGTTTAAACTTCTGAACTTAAATCTTTGACTGCTGATACATGAATATATAGTTAACAGTTTCGATGTTGTTGATCATGAGGTGAACAAAATAGGCCTCAGCTAGCAGAGTGTTATTCGCGTAGTGAGCGATGATTGAAGGTGTATTGAAAATGCGCGTCTCAGTAGGATTCTAACCAGTGGTATCTGAATTATTACACTGAAGTGCTTTCTACCAGTCGAGTTACTAAACTCAAACGCTAACCAGGTCATCACTTCACTACGATTATCACAGATAATCTTCATTTTATCCTTATGTGCTAAATTCAGTATGATTTAAAATAAGAGTAAAACACCTAGGTGAACAGAAATGTACCACTGCTGCGAAACAATGAAGTGGTTAGCAGTATGTGCATCTTGCAACTCAATCGATAAAGCTCAAGTTGGCTCACTTGGATACCATTGGTTTGAATCCTACAGTGACCTAGATCCCTATTTCATCTTCAATTATCTGATGTCATCGATTTGTAAATATATACAGACGTCTGAACAATGCGATGTATATGTCTTGTTTAAAGGCTTGTCGATAAGGTCACAGGTGTAATATTTAAACTTCCTACTGGTTAAATAAAATGATATTCTATTATATGTCTTGTATTATTACAGAAAAGAAAAAAGAAAGCAAACAGTATCATCAATCGATATTTAATATTACTTGATGAAATACCATATTAACATATATAAAATTCACATGAAAATGATAATCAATAAAGACGTTTAGTTGTTTCATTGAGTATGCAAGTGTCCAGGGACTAGTTGATTTATATCTTACAAATAAGACAGACAGATATCGTATATCGTACTTTTCGGTTTCTGAGTGGAACATAGGGATTCAGAAGCACATCTCCGTTTCACTTAGTTCTCAGCAGTCAATTTTAGATGACTTTACTATCGCCCATTAGCTTTCACCATCTTCTCCTCTTCAGACAATCTCTTTTGTGTCACTCTTGGATATCGAACTCGTCGTTTCTCATTCGAATTTAACTAGAGATTATGTCTGTCTCGTGATTTCACTCGAACGTCTCCTCGCTCAGTTTATTAGTTCAGAGACTTCAGGGCACAAAAAAGCTCACCTTTCACTGAAATTGGTGTTACAACAAAATGACGTGGATTGATGTGAGTTCTCAGAAAGTCATTCAGTCGATGTGTCTTTTGTCGATGAAAGCTAAAATAGACATGCGGATATGTAATGAAGATGTATGGAGCAGATTTTCGGTGTTGCTGATTGATGGTTGTAGCGGTGGGGAGGGGGGAAGGGAATCATCCTATTTTATAGGATTACAAAACAATTCATTCCAAACTATCAACAAGTCTGTATGCATGAGTGATATTGAC